AAAATACTAACCAGGAGTCAGCATCTTCAGCGAATACCAACTCTTGGAAGCTACTCTCCAAAACTTCATGGCAACTACCAATGCTCTATTGCAAGATCACATAACATCTATTGAGAAAATGAGCATTATTACAGAGCCAAGGGGTATGTTTGAAAAGTCATAGTTAATCTTTGCGAGCCTTGGAAATCCATGTAGAAAATATTGTTGCAGCAGTACATGCACGCCCACAGGGCAACCTACCTAGTGATACTAAAGTCACTAAGGTTCCAGATAAGGAGCATAGTGGTGCATTCACCTTAAGGAGTGGAACCAAAACATACAAAGATTCTAAGTTTGAGGGGGAGACACTCGGAGAGCCCAACCAAGATATTGTGCACAAAGATTCGGAGATCCAAGAAGACTCACATTCGATGGAAAAAATGATGAGGGTTCAAAGAGTACAACCAATGAAGATAAGAAAAATGTTGCCATGGAAAAAGATAAACCCCCACCAACATGAGTGAATGGACAAAGGGTAACTTCTAATGTCTTCAACACGCTCAAATATGCTAATGATTCTATGGGAATCTACGATGGAAGAGGAAGCTACCGAATTTTGTCGTAACAAATTTTTATGCGTTGATGATCGCTTGAAGCTCGATGAAGAAGACGAAGTGGAGCTCGAGGATATTCCAGAGGATATGAGTTAGTCTAGGTTATTCATAGCTAAACCAGGTACAAAATTTGAACCTTTGGATTTCATTGAATTTATTCATCCTAAACCCTAAGGTGGCGTTTGGTTCGCTAGAATATTTCTGAGGGAATTGGAAACTGTGAATGAATTAGAATCTGTCAGGAATTGGAATCTGAAACCTGTTGGTTGGCAGGAAATTGAATTGGAATCAAATTTCATATTCTGTTTGGTTTGCAAACATGTCAGATGAATTTGATTTCAGTAATGTAAAATGACATAATTGCATTTCTTGTTTTTTTGTTTTATTTTAGTTTGTTTTATAACTTACATATAACAATATATTATAAAAATTAAAAAAATATTAAATTTTCATTTTATTGATTGATTATTCATTTCAATAAATTATAAAAATCATACTAATGGATATGGGTTGGGTTGGGTTGGGTCGGATTTTTGGTCCATCGACCCGACCCGAGAACAAGGGGACTTCTACCCGAGACCTGACCAAAATAAAGTTTCACCCGACCCGACCCGAATATATGAATTAGAAACCCGACCCAACTCGACACGAAATAATAAAAAAATTATTTTTATTCAATAAAAACAGTGACTTAATTGAAAAAATTATATATTGAGGGATATTATTGTAATTATTCCTAAACCCTAAACCCTAAACCTGACCCAACCCGAACCCGAAATTTTTTAAAAAAATACGACCCGAATACCAAAATATTGATGAAGGTTGTATGGTCAAATTTCACATTCCCTCTAAAAGATTTCAATTCCATCATGTTATGGATGAAATTTACTTTCCCTTATTTGATGGAATTGGATTCCAATTCTCCCTTTGAAAACTTGAACCAAACATGGGAAAGTGGTGGAATTGATTCCAATTCCCCCTAATTCCAAGAGATTCCAGCGAACAAAACGCCACCTAAGTAACTCCATCTGTCTAGGCTAGAAATTCTAAAAGAATTAAGGAATGAGATGAAGATTAAGGAAAAAATTCTCTAATGAGAAATTATTATTTGTCGCGGTATTTTTGTTGTGTGTTGACACTATAAATTTTCTCTTTAGTTGTATATTGTTTCCTTATTTCAATAGGCAGGGAAAGAACAATGTCATACATGTTAGTGGCTACTGTCATTGGGATGACCCCTACCTTTTCAAAGATTTTACTGCCCAGACGAAGTTGCCACACCAAAGAGGAGCGAAAAGAGATCCTATTCCACTATTATTCAGCTTCATGTGGAAAACACTTTGAAGGAGAGAGAACTACTGAAAAAGTCCTATAATTCATATATGAAAGACACAAAATGCCAGAGCAAAATATTTTGAAGGTAGGAATGTTATATGTGGGGCATTTTGGTTATACTGGTGATCCAATCGAACGCGACAAAATTGCCATATTAATTTAAGATATTTGGAGTTTGCATCCCTTCAACCCTCTTTAATTTTTTACTATAGCAATTTTTTTGTTGTGTGTTTGTTTTCTTTGCTTTATTTATTTATATCTTTATTTACTTTTAATATTAGTTTTTTAATAAAAATAGACTTCCAAACATGTGAACAAGGGTAGTATGTTTTCTTTATTTCTTTCTTTACTTTTAATATTAGTTTTTTTGCTATGGCATTAGTTAGGATTAGGCTAGTTATTTGGAATTAGTTAATGATGTCTGATGATGATACTTTTTTTTTGTCATGGTTGGAAATTAATGTACATGACTATTAAGGTGGATAGAACCAACCATAGGACTCGATTCTTTGTGACTCTTTGAACATGATTGTATGTTTTCTATGCTTAAAGAACTTATAAAATTTTTATGAAAGAACTTTTGCATGCCATGGTATAGAATTTTGGTAATGAACTAAACTACTATATCAATGTTTGAAAGGCTAAGTTAAACTCAATATTTTGAATTGTGTTGAATTGCAAATAAATGCCTTAGTATAATTGTAAAGGGACACTCCTCTATGTGACGGCATTGTTTGGAAATGCCTTGAATAAATGTGAGCCTTAGCATATGAGTGAATGAAAGTAGTAACATGATGACTCTATTTGACTAGCTCGAGGATAGAAGGTATGTTCTCATTCATCTAGAGTGAGGGATGATAGTTGTGATAGGCTGACTCCCCTTGTGCAGTGCTAAAAAATGAAAAATTGAAAAATTGAAAAATTAAAAAGTTTAAGTGTTGAATAAATAGGAGTAATTTTGTGCTTAATGAATAATTTATGCCTTGGCAAAACAAAACAACTTACTTGGGGACTTTCTAATTTTGTTAAGCATAGACTAGATACAATCACACACTCACACTTGCAAAAGATATTGGCCTAGGGAAAGGTGTTTGACTTCTCAATTAGTCTAGCATCTCGAAGGCAATCTTTTTGCTGAGGGATGAAATTTTAGACCACTTGAATGTCCTGATTTAGACTTTGCCATAGCATTTTATTTTTTTGTTAATCATTATCCATTGCTTGAGAACAAGGAATAGCTTAAGTTTGGGTGTGTGATAACTTCGTAAAAAGATTATATTTTGGGTCTTTTTACTTAAGTTATTGATTATCTAAAAGCCATTGTCGTAACATTTAGTTGCATTTAGGACATTTATTGCTTGTGGTGGAAAATTTTTGCCTTGGCTAATTTTTCTTTATAAAACTGATGATGTTGATGAGAGGGATTGTGTGTTGGTTGTGATGATGCAGGTGATAGAAAATGACCGAGGAAGATATTATTTACTATGACAAATTTTGTGTGAGGGCCAAAGGAACTGAAGACGATGACCGTGAGGAACAATTTTTTCCGTGGCAAGTTTTATCTTGCAAGTCTAACGCAGTACGAGACAAAATTACTGATGTCGCATGGCCAACTGTCTGTTGCACCTCACATGAACCTCTGCCCCTACCAAGGATTTGGGACCACTTCCAACTGCCATATTATTCACGAAATTGGCATGAATTCGAGGGTAGTTGGGTAAATTTCAAGGTCACTAAACCCTATAAATTCGTCACTATAAATAGCATATTATGCCCACGATTTTAGAGATCCCCACTCTCACTTACCCTAAAAGCTTTGAAAAAGGCAGCTGTAACAACTTCTCCACCGTTCCTCTCTCGTCCTTTCTTGCTGTCCTCCATAGTCGGGCTTCGTCGAAGTAGCGGCTAAGCCCTCAAGAGAGGCTAGCCCACTAGAGTGATCCATGGTGGTGATCTAATGTCACGACAAAGCTCTGTTTTTGGGAGTTTTCTGCTTGTTCTTCATTTCTTATCTTTTAAGGGCTTGTACTTAATGAATATTTTTGGATGATTTTAGCCACACCATGAACTATTTTATTTGGTGTTGGAAATGTTTGGATGATACTTTATTTTATGTTTAATGGATGATAAGTATATTTATGTTTATTGTTGTTTTGTTCACTGTTTTAATCTTATGCCTTAGCACTCTAAGAGCTTTTGAGAGATTGTCTGGTGCCTTGGCATAATATTCATAGTCTTTGTAAGAGTTGTTGAGAGAATTGTTTTTCTAGGAGTTGATACCTAATATCGAGAGAGCTAGGTTAGATCTACGTGAACAATGAAACTAATCCGAGATGATGAGGTTGTAATCCGCCTTAGATATAAGGAGAGGGTTTTAAGCGACTAGAAGGGATAGTACTTAATCGATAGGCCAGGGTCACTATTTACGTTGAGAGGTATTGTCGTGGCAATAGTTGTATCAGGTTCCTTACTAGAGATAACTTAGGCACGCTTTAGTAAATCTTGTCGGGCAACATAGACACAAATATTTAGTTCATCCTAGGTATAGAATAATTTATCTCCATAACAAGTCCATCTCATGTGCTCCATTAGAAGTCTGATTGTGTGAGGTTGTTGGTTTATATTCAGAACTCAAACATTTTTGCCTTAGCAACTTTAATTTACTTATTCTTGCAATTAATTTTTGCCTTAACAGTTTTTATTTGTTTACTCTTGCATATTTTTCTTGCCACGACAAAATTATTTGCTTACTTCACTTCACACATTTTTTGCCTCAACAAACTTTTTTCATCTGTTCATACCAGCTACCATAGCACATTTCTCATTTGTTTATATCGTTAGATTTAGATGCTTAGGATTAGTTAGTGATGCCTATTCCTAGTTGTAGCAATCTTTAAAGAATTCTTACAATCCTGTGGAGACGATACTCACTCACTACTATATTACTTGCATCGATTGTGTATACTTGCATAGATTTGTGTGTTACAACACACATTTACACGTGATCAGCCTGATATAACATTTGCATTACATCATCTCAACCAATTTATGCAAAAACCCAAAGAAAGTCACATGGATGTTGCACTTAGAATTGTAAGATACATCAAGAAGGATCCAGGAAAGGGTCTGCTGTTCAAGGTTGCAAGTAATGATAAGATTGTAGCCTACTATGATGCTGATTTTTCTGCTGGTCCCATGTCAAGGAAGTATGTCATAGGGTTTTGCATCAAGATTGGAGATTCTCTTGTTTATTGGAAATCAAAAAAGCAGAATACAGTCGCCAGGTCCTCAGCTGAGGTAGAATACAGAAGCATGGCCATGACAACTTTTGAACTAGTTTGGTTGAAAGGTTTGCTTGAAGAATTTGGCAATAAAGTATCAAATACTTCGTTCTTTTAGTTTCTTACTTGATTTTATGCTCTCTCTTTTTTTTTGCATTTATCGAAGCAATTATTTCATGCTGATTGTTCACACGTGATCGATGTTATTTTACTATATTTATTTTCTTTTTCCTTCCACTTTCTTTGATTTTGCAGGTTTGGGATTCTTGAAGAGGCCGGTTTCCACATTTAGCTGCAATTTTAACAGCATTAAGCATCGCTTTCTGAATGATAGGTAATCTATGTTACTTTGAATGTCACCTTAGAAATGGATGGATGAGCTCTATTTGCTCTAGTATTGAAGGTTGTTATGGTTATATTTAGTTTTCTCATTAATAGTTTCTAATAATTGTTTGTCATATAGTTTGGCTGGTACTTTTAGTGAGAAGGTGACTAGAACTGTGAGGCAATTCTCTCCACATTTAGCAGCTAGTATTGAAGCTTAAGAAATTATTTGCCTCATTAATAGTTGCTAATGATTGTTTGTCATATGTTTTTTAAGGATAATATCTGTGATGGATCCGTCTAGAAGTTGGGCTGCTCGTTGGCTACGAATTGGTAAGTTTTTAAAAGTTTAAGAGCCTTATTTGCATGGAGAATGGAGGTTTGTATGATTTGCTTTATTGTATGAGGTTAGTTTGATGTTTTTACTAATGGGTGAACCCTGGATTTTAAGATTTATTCTCTTGGCTGATTGCTGAAATAATGCATGCCTCTATGAATGCTTCTATGTTATTCGAATTCGGGTATTAGTTTCAAATATGAGCATATGTCCAACACGGGCATGGTTAATTTTCAAACCTTTTCCATGCATTTGGACTAGATATTTCTAACAAAAATGAAGAGTCGGAGACATGGCTTCTGAACTTTATGAAGCACCATACTTTTGACATATTGATGATAGTTTTTCACTGTAAAACAGTATATTATCCAATTAGTATTATATCATTTCTTTTATATCCATTTCGGCTTCTGATGCCTTCTCAAACTATATGTTTACATTACTGGATTATATGTGATCTTTAGATATTCGGTTTCTTTACATTTCTGTAAATCCTTCTCAGGGAGATTTATCCCTGGTTGTTACGCTCTTGCAGTTTCAGAGGCACTTCCACGAGAATTGCAGGTACGGTGTCTCATCCATTACCAAGTAAAATTCGCTTATCCCTTTTATATGCCGATTAGTTCACAAAAGTAAAATGGATGATCATGTATGAAACACAATGTGCATCTTTTTTAATATGTAGGCCTTCCATGATAATATTTGGTTTCCCTTTTCAACTTTTCTCATGTCGTCTTTGATCCTTTGTAGCATCCTACCCCCCGGGGGGGGGGGGTCGTATTTCAACTCTCATCATGTAAACAAAACATTATATACATTGTACTGAAAAAAAATAATGTCAAATCCAGAAGTTTCAAATCTACAAGAATCGAGTATACTATCTCGTTTCTCCGTTAAAAAGATGATACAATTGCAGCATGATATTACTTTTGCGTTTCCAGTATTAATCCTCCTGTTCCTTCATACAGAGTATGTGTGAAGAAGTGCATGTTCAGTATGTACCACCGAAGCGGGCATGAGAAATAAGTATCTTTTCTTGTTCTAGACAACGTTATATATTTACATCATCTGTTTATTTTAGTTGTTATTACATTTTACTTGAATATTGAACATTACATTTCACTTAATGTTGAACTGTGTGCTTGAATGTTTGTAAACTTCAATTTATTTATGTTGTTAAGTATTTTTTTTTATTTAATTTGAGTCGTATCAAAGTTGTTATTGGAAATTGTTACTACAGGATACGATAAATTTGGGCAATAAAGAGTTTGTGTTAACATTTGTAAATCAATCTCGATTAGAGGCATTTTTATTCTAAATGCTACTAAATGTCGTAACCTTTTGCGGCGTTTGTAAAAAATGTCGCTAAATGTCTGAAATTATTGCGGCGCTTATAAGAAAAAGCCACTAAATGTTTGAATTTATTGCGGTGTTTGTTAAAAAAATGCCACTAAATGTTTGAACCTATTGCGGTGCTTTTTATTTACAAACGCCGCTAATGTTTGTGGTGTTAGTTATAACGACGTTTCTTGTGGTGTTTTTTATATGCCAAGAAGGTTTTTTGCGACGCTTAAAAACACCGTTATATGACTAGAGAAACGTCGCTATAGCCTAATTCTACTATAGTGATAGTAATCACTGTTAACGATAAGTGACTAATTTATTGTAAATCGATAATGTTAGTGATCAATTTATTATTTTTGAAACTTCAATGGTGAAAACAAAATTTTACTTAAACATTAGTAATCATTTTAATAATTTACCCTAAATAAAATATGAAATACTGATATAGAAAGCAAGCATAAAATAATTATACAAAATTTAAAGTTTCAAGACACAATAATGTCAAAAACCAAAAAATATTAAGAGTTACATATCCAATTATAAGGTAAAAAATATATTTATTTTTTAGTGTTATTATTAATTAAAAATGTAAAAAATATATAATAAATAATAATAAAATATTAATAGAAAGGTGAAACTAAGGATTCAACTTTTTGTACTTGCACAAACAGAGTGACCTCGGTAGTAAAGAAATTGTTGTTATTCATTGAGGTCTCGGGTTCAAGCATCAAGAATATTAGGAGTGTGAGCATTCAATAATAGATGATTGAGAATTATTTTTAAACATATATTGTCTTGTACTTACCTCAAATGAATAAAAACAAACTTTTTGTACTTCAGTACATAAATCTTATCTCTTTTAAAAGGTAAGAATAAAAATATCCTTATAAAATATTAACATTTTTATAAATTTCAAATCTAATTTTAATCTTTCTTAAAAGAGAATGGAAAGACTATTCTAAAAGAAGAAAATATAGTACTTTTAATAAGTCTAGAATCTATAACCTAAAAAAATATGAAAAACAAAAGCAAACAATTTGATTACTCAATTAAGTATGTTTGCTTGAGATTATTACTCGAGATTAGCATTTTATTTAGTACCTTCATGTGAAAAATTTAATAAGCTGATAAATAACCTAAGGAAAATTTTACAATGTTCGACAAGCACTGATGAGTGCCACTAACAATGACAACACTATATTAATTTATAAAATGTTAAAATTATAAAGTACTCAACATATAAATTATAACTTAGTTAAAAATCTAAATGTAATTTATTTAAAATACAATACCAATTACATTATCTTTTATAATCTCATTTTTAATTATAATTAGATTAAATACGAACCCCTAAATTTAAAAACCATAATTTTCTATAGCTTTAAAGCTCCCGCCGCCATCGGTATCATTTTTCACTGGCGATTGAGTCTTTATCGTTCATCCCTTCCGACGTGGCTGTCGTTCACGCAACCAATCTGTTGAGGTAAGCTTTATTAAGTTTATTTTATTTTGAACTCGGGCGTCCGTCCAAGCCGCCATTGATGGGTGAGGCCTCACCAGCTATTGACGCTTTCACCGACAGTGGGCATGGATGACAGTGTAGGGTTGCCACCATCTCATCACCTTTCCCTAATTCCTTAATTCCTAAACCCTAACCATAACACTAACCCTAATTTTCTAATTAGTCTAATTATAAAACCCTAATTCCCAAATTAAGTAGCATAATTCCCAAATTAAAACCCCAATTAGAACAATTGAACCTTAATTTCTATGTTAGAATTGTATTTTTGAAATCTGATTATGAATCCCCAATTTGAATCTCACAGGTCGTATCGGTACCTTGGCTCATGTGTACTGGTACGTGGGCATTCGAGTGTCGGTACTGTTTGTGTATCGATGCTATAATTGTACACTATTATTAATTTCATATATGTTTACTAGTATTGTAGTAGAGTTTATAGGTACGATATGCTTGATTTGTACAATTTTGTGTTAAGTATGCAGACTTAGATTTTATCTTTTTAACTTAGATGATGGATCTAAAGTTAACAACTTCAAAACAAGTTAAGATGATGGAGATTAAGCGTCACATCGACATGAATTCGGAGAAGACATACAACGAGGTACATTGTAACGCCCCAAAATTTCATTATAGACTAAATTGGTAAATAAAAATTATTTCGATGACAAGTTAGACAATTTCTATGTGATGTGAGATTAAATTTTAAGTATGAGATGAAGAACTTATTTGTTAGAATTTATTTTGGAGGAGATTATTGACTAAATTGAAATAAATGAATTACACATCTCTAAGGTGAAAACAAGTGATGAGTTTGACTCTTTAATGAATTATTATCCCCAAAAGTTATAAGATATTTTCCTTGGGTGGATATGGGCCATTAGATTAAATGGGGGTTTTCATATTCAATTTAGATCCTTGGATCTAAATGAAATGTTCGGTTTTTATTTATTAAGGTCGTGTTTGTTTTTGCAGAGGTAAAAGGTCTGCAGTATGCGGACTACATCTGCAGACATCTGCAGCAGAAGAGGTGAATCAAAAGTCTCCAGTCTGCAAGAAAAAGACTGTTTGTTTTTTAATGTCTGCAGACTGCTAAAATAAACTGAAATATAAATAAACTGATTTTTTTAAACTTAAAAGAGTTTTGTAATACTGAGATTTAAATAATTTTAGTTTTACAATACTGAAATTTAAATAATTCATACAACTACAATAATAAATTTTTTAGAAAAACAAACACCACCTTATTAATTCTATTATAAGTCTCACATAATCACATGTATTATTAGTTTTATAAGTTTTATAGAATAAAATTTATAAATGATCATTAAATTATATGATTTTTTTTAAATATGCAATTATGTAATACTTTTAATTTTTTTAAATATATATTCATAATTTATTTTTATAATTATATGATATTTTTAGAAAATATTTTTTAATTTATCAAATTATTTTATGATTATTTTTTATTTAATTGTGATTATATTTTTAAATTTTAAAAACATAATTTATAATTTTTTATATTTTAAAATCTTAATTATCAAACAATGAAATCATTTTTTATTAAGCAATGTGGTTTAAATAATTACATTTTGTATAAAAAGTTTAAATATAATTTAAAAATAACAAATCTAAAAAAAATACTATATTTAAACTTAAATCAAAATAATTAAAATAAATATAAAATTTTAATAATATATAAAATAATTAATATGATATAAAATTAAATATCTATAATATAATATTAAAAAATTAATATTTAATTTATTTAAAATTAATATTAAAATTAATATCTATAATATAATATAATATTAAAAATTAATATTTAATTTATTTAAACAATTAATATTAAAATTAAAATCAAATTTAATATAAAATTAAATATAAAACTTTTTTGAAGAGGTTAGAAGACGTCTGCAGACATAAAACCATGTCTGCGCCGCGCAGACCACACGCAGACGTTAGAAGAGTTTCTGTCTTCTAAAAAACAAACGGTCTGCGAAGTCCAATGTCTGCGT